TTGGAATACACTCAGTTTAATGAGGTCCTTTATGCAGTTTAATTTGTGGATATATAATTTTAAAATTGTGGATATATAGTTATGTGATTATGGATGTGTAGTACTCTGTGAATAAATGTATGTATTACTCTGTGGACATACTGCTAATAATTCTGGATATATATTAATGTGTTTTTGGATGTATATTTATGGGTTTATGGACATATATGCATGAAACTTGGAATATACTCATTTTATTAATATCATTTTTTATTTCTGAATTTTGTGGATATATAGTTTTAAAGTTATGGATATATAGTTATGTGATTATGGACATATAGTTATGCATTACACTGTGACCATGCAATTAAGAATACATGGATAAATTGTTCTAAATTCATCTTTAACATAATCTTCTGTAATTTGTAGCTGTTCTACTTTGATCGAGTAGAATTCAAAGGAATGAAGATCAACAGGACATACCCTAGCATACTTGCTTGGACAACCACGCTTGTAAGAAAGAGAGTCAAGGCTGAAAAAAGGGCTGGTGGGTTTGGAAAGGGAAGGGTTATCCCTAGAGTTAAGAAGCCAAGGACTGATGCTACCACCTCACTGCAACAACCTGCAGGCACTGCTGCTGCTACAACCTCACTACCACAACCTGCATTTACTGCTGCTGCTACTACTTCTTCTACTCCTGCTACTGCAACACCGACACCAACTACAAGTGAGCCACTCTCAAGTGTTGATCGGGTGACCCGTGTGCTCCAAAAGCTAGCATCAGATGTCCTGGAGTTTGGTGAAGCTATGTCTGAAATTGGAAAGCAGGGCGCACCTATTGAAGTCATGAAGAAAGCGTTCTCAGGGATATCAAACATGCTAGGTGCTGCAAGCGCAATTGAATCAACTTCCATTCCAACTGAATCTCAGTTGGATGACATATTCTTTGGGAGTGAAACTTTCACCGCTGCAGTGGATTCATTGGTGGAAGCATTTCAGAAGACAACAAGAACCATGGAATTTGAAGCTCCATCATTTGATTTGGGAATACACTGCAATGAATCGCAACCGCAGCCATGTGAGCAACACACAGAGCAAGTAGTTGAAGAGGACCTACCATTGGATGCTTTGGTTCAACAAATTGGAGAGGATGCAGGACTGTCAACGACCTTGGAAGCACAAGTAACTCCTCCACTTGTTAGGGTCCCATTTCAGAGATATGTTCGTCATGCCGCTGCTACTGATGCTGATGTTGATGACTTTGATTGGTAAATTTACAGTTTGTTATTTGCATTTGGCTTTAACGTTATGAATTTATAGTGCTAAAATTATGAATATAAACTTATGAACATTTTTACAACTGTGGACATATAGCTTTAAAATTGTGGATATATAGATATAAAATTATGAACATTTTAAATCTGTGAATATATAGTTCTATGATTATGTACATATATGTTTAATATTATGGATATAAAGTTCTAATGCTGTGGATATATAAACAACAGTGCCATGCAAGAAAGTGAGTCTGATGTTGATGACGTGACTGTTAGGATGAGACCCCAGCGACGATTCAGGAACAAACCTCTTTGTTTGAGGTCACCATACTGGACACAGAATGCAGGTTTTATACGCACTACAACTCCACGGGAAAAAATCATTTCAAACTATGCATTCTTGAGTGTGTCTACCGAACACCCAGAAGAGTATGTTTGAACACATATATTTATAATAACCTTTAAATTACTTAGATAGTTCATATTATTATAACTATTGGTGTTATTATTATTATTGTTATTTTGGTGCTGTAGTGAGTTGCTGTTCAGCTATGGTGACTACTACCTAACAAGGCGTCACTTCTCAACTTTGAGCAATGGTGAGTTGGATATAGACTTCTTGAATGTTTGGTCTTTGCGGCTAACTTTGAAGAACACAGAACGTGCTGTTGGGATACCAAAACGCGTATTCTTCACCACACTGCCACATGTAAGAGTTATTTTTGACATGCAAATGCGCATTTTTAAAAATCTAGTACTCTAAGCCTTTTGAATACTCATTTTTTGCATTTCTGTGTATTCAAAAACAGCTGCAGCTTGATCCATCTGATGATTGGATGAAAAGTCTCCCAGCTGAGAAAAGGATGGAAAATTTCAATGATAGATTGAATTATGAAATATCAAGTTTTGGAAACCTGGAAATCAGTGATGCAGACCTTGTAAGATCTATTACACACACTTAATTTAATAATTTAAGATTTTATTATTGATATATATGCATGAAGCTTGGAATATACAAAGTTTAATAAGATCCTTTATAAAGTTCTGAATTTGTGGATATATAGTCTTAAAATTGTGGATATATAGTTATGTGATTATGGATATGTAGTACTCTGTTAATATATGAATGTATTACTCTGTGAACAGGCTGTTAAGAATTCTGGATATATGGTAATGTAGTTTTTGGATGTATAGTTATTAATTTGTGGATTTATATGCTTGAAGCTTGGAATATACTCGGCTTATTAAGATCTTTATAAATTTCTGAATTTTGTGGATATATAGTTTTATAATTATGGATATATAGTACTCTGTCAAATATGAATGTATACCCATGCAGTTAACAGTACCTGGGTATGTAGTTGTTTCAAATAATAACCTTTTGTTTTGGAATTAGATATTTTTCCCAGTGCATCGCCATGCACACTACTTTGTTGTGTGCATAAATGTCAAGGAATCCAAGGTTCAGGTGATAGACAACAAGGAATTGCCTGCTGGTGTTTCAGAGCTTGATAAATATGGAGACTGTCCATACAAACTGGTAGCTTATATTATATTAAAAAATCTCCTTATTGTCACCTATATATTGAATTTAAAACATTATGAACATTGAGCTAATTTTTTACCAGATTGAAGCATTCAAGGCGTACCTGGAAGCAGGACAATCCACCTTGACTCACAAACTGAACAGCATGCCAGTAGAGTTCCTTGCCATGCACTGGAAAAATGCAGAGAATGTCACCGACTGTGGCATATATGTAATGCGGCATATGGAGAGTTACATGGGTGGAGCTCTCGAGAACTGGGATCCTGGGTTCAAGAAACATATGCGCACGAATGTAAGAGTAACATAAATATATTACATTCCAACTACATCAAAAAGTGATGAAAAAATTACAATGAACTAGTTATTTATTTTTCTTATTTTACAGGCTAGCTTCATTCTTGAGTTGAGGGCAAAGTATGCTGCTTGTATCATCATGTCAAAGCTGAACAGCGTCAAAGGCGAGGTCAAGAAAGCTGCAAAGATTGAAGACAAGAAGAAGTAAAACTGGAAAGATCAATGAATGTTTTTGTGGATGAATATTTTAATATTTTCTGTTCTTATGGTTGTTTTGTAACAACTCTATCACAATTTTTGAAATTCGATCTATGAAATTCACTGAATATATAGTTCTCATATTATGGACATGTAGGTTTAAGATTGTGGATGTATGGATATAAAATTATGAACATCTTACATAAGTATAAACATACCGTTCAAATATTCATATATTCATATTTCAAGAATTATGGACATATAGGTTTAAGATTGTGGACATATTGATATAAAGTTGTGAATATTCGTTCAACTGTGAACTTACATTTTACATAAGTGATCAAGTTCACCAGTTTACATATTGATATATAGCTTCAATATTGTGGATATAATGATATAACATTATGAACACTTTTACTAATTTGACACACAATTCCAATATTTTGTGGTCATATAGTTCTCAGAATTATGGACATATAGGTTTAAGATTGTGGACATATTGATATAAAGTTATGAATATTCGTTCAGCTGTGAACTTACATTTTACATAAGTGTAAACATCAAGTTCACCAGTTTACATATTGATATATAGCTTTAATATTGTGGATATAATGATATAACATTATGAACACTTTTACTAATTTGACACACAATTCCAATATTTTATGGTCATATAGTTCTCAGAATATGTATGTATAGCTCTAATATTATGGATATATAGCTTTAGTATTATGGATATGTAGCTTTAATATTATGGATATATAGCTTCAAACCTGCAAATCAACAAGTACTAAAATTTTGAATACACAGATCAAACAACTTGTAAATTGATATCCTCAAAACAGCTAGCTACCAACTGGTATTAACCCCACTCTCAATCTACAACTGCATTATCATCTACATCATTACTATACTGACAAAACTCCGAACTCCCAAAACTTGGATGTACAAGGTACCCATCCCCGGCAATCTCAGATAGACTTTCCAAAACCAACGACTGAACAGCACCTTTTGTACTCGAAGCAACTTTATTTGCAGCACTCCTCCTCCCCTTGCAGCACTGTACTTCTTTTCAATAACACTACTCCTCCTTACGTTACGCTCACCTTTTGATCTCCGGTTTGAAGGATTTTGAATGACACCACTTGAAGATGAAACACCGCACTCTTCAATTTGCACATAGCTAATCTCAGCTTCAACCTTTTTCTTTGCTTCCTCAACTGCTTCATCACAGAACTGCCTAGTTACACTGTTATCTTGACTAGATGAAATCAATCTTTGAAACTTTCTGCAAATCTCCACAACCCAAATTGAAGGAGGGACACCAGCTCTACAAAACATTGAACCAGTATTCACATCCCTACCATCAGCAACCTTTTTAGTCCACCTTTTCATGATATATTTGTTAGGAATACTTGAAACACAGTGTATATGAAGAATGCGTAAACAATGGCAGCATAAAATTCCTAACTCCGAAATCAACTTGCAACTACACGAAATGTCTAAGGTTGACAACTTAAAACTGACTTCATGCCTTATAATATCTATATCTGGACGCCATACGTGATACTTGAACTGACAACCTTCATTCAACACCATTTCTTGATGACAGGCATTGCCTTTCATGAATTGTTCCTCAAACAAAAAATATATCTCAATCGTATATACCTCTCTAGCGTGTAACAGAAGTTTCACGTGCTCCATCATCATGTTGGGTACCCTTGAGTACAACGAAAGTCTTCACCATTCTCTTTGCTCCTCCATTCAGAAGTTACACTAACAAACGATGAATAAAAATCACATAGACCTGCAGTCTTGGACAACCTTCTTGAAATCGAATGGTTAGTAGTTTCACTCCTTTGCGATGATAAAATGCCCCCTGAAAAATAGTCCTTATTGAATGCTGGACACCACTTCTCCCTACAGTCATACAGCTTTTGTATCCAACTATTCTTGTGGCACTTGTAGTCAGTCACCAACCTGAAATGATAAGATATATGTTCAGAACTCTAATGCTATATATCCACAGTTCCAATATAATAAAACCACAAATTGAATGCATATAATACAAACAGAAAGCTCACTGCTTCACTACTACATGTTCAGACAACTAATACTATATATCCATAATTGTAATATTATATATCCACAATTCCAATACTATAAATCCATAAATTGCATGCATATAATTTAGAGACAAACAGGAAGCTCACTGCTTCACTAATACATGTTCAGACAACTAATAATATATGTCCATAATTCTAACACTGTATATTCACAATTCCAAAACTATAAATCCATAAATTAAATGCATGTAACTCAGGAAAAATCAAGAAGTTCCATTCTATACTACAACATGTTCACATAATTCTAATACTATATATTCATAATTCCAATACTATATGACCATAATTCTAATACTAAACATCCATAATTCAATTACTGGAATCGAAAAAGGAAAAAAAAAAAGTAGTGGACATACCTTGTCCAATAAAATTCAAACTCAGCTTCAGTCTCTGTGTATTTCAACACACAGTTAAACATATCTAAGAAATCCTTGTTATTCCTTAACGCCTTGATATGCTTCTTCGAATTCTCGCCAATATGCCATATGCAAAGACGGTGACGTGATGTTGGAAACACCTGACAAATAGCAGCAGCCATGGATGCACATTGATCTGTCATGATAGTCTGTGGACATTTCTCATTCATAGACCTTAAAAATGCTCTAAACAGCCACACAAATGATTCTATCCTCTCATTCATCAGAAAACCACATCCAAACATTACATTCATGCAATGGTGGTTCATCCCTACAAAAGGGCCACAAATCATATCATATTTATTAGTGCGATAAGTTGTATCGTGCACTAATAAATCCCCAAACAACTCATAGTCTTGTCTCATCCGACCATCCTCCAAAAAAAAACTGCATAGTCTTGAATCACAATCAACTTCAAAATCAAAGAAAAAATCAGACTCAGTCGACTGCCTCTTCCTAAATATTTCAATTAATGAGTTCGAACCGGTTCCATCCAAACGCTTTGATGTATCAGAAGCAATTGAATTATAAGCATCTCGATTAGTGAAGCCAACTAATGGAGACCCCCCTGCTTGATGTTTCAAGAACCTAATACCATCTGCCATTGCAACACCACTCTTCTTCAAATCTTTTAAATATAACAGTTGATTATCACCAACATTTCTATGTGAACGCAGAAGATGACTCTTGTCTACAGCACATAACTCGTGATTGTGCACTTTTACATGTTTTGTAACCGTCCACAACCCATCCTCACCGACGTCAAACTGAACACATGCACCACACCCTGACCTTGTGTCAATTTTTGAATATGCCCTAACACCAGCATTTGCCTTAACCTTAAAACCAGCTTTAGAACACATAAACATCTTCATTTGGACTGTTTGCTATATACCTTGCACCGTTGATTACCCTTCCTCACACTAAAACCAACTCTATATGCATAATTGTTATACAACTCATACGCTTCAACCCCGTTACTTACAACAACACCAACCAAATCTTCATCAACTGCAAATGCAATATATAACTCAAGTATACTAAATAATACACGTTCCATTGAAAATATAATTCCTATGTAGAGGGGTGCGGGGAATGCCGAATAAATCCAGCCATGCTCTACAAAAGGAATAACATTTTCCATGGAAAAAGAATGAACATATAACAATGCTGAACACTGTGAATTATGATCATATAAAACTACATATAGACCTGGATTAGAAGAAGAACCATCAATGTCTAACTCTATTGGATCTGAACTTGGTGAATCAACAACAACATCTTCACTGACTGCATAGTGTTAAAAGCCAGAACAGAGTATCAGTTTAGAAATTTGTGGATGTATAGTATTATAATTCTGGATGTATAGTGATAGAATTCTGGATATAAAGCTCACAGTTTCTGGACATAAAAGTTCAATAATTATGGATATACAATCCAGAACAGAGTATCCATTCACAAAATCCTTGATATATACTACTATAATTCTGGATATATAACTCACAATTCTGGATTTATAGTTCAAAGATTATGGATATATATTTCGTTCATTCAGAAACCATAAACACATAAACACCAAGAGTTACGAATGATCTCAGACTAGAATCACATAAACATCACATACACAATAAACATCACACTAAATATAAACACCTACACATATATCACACTGCAAAAATTGCAAACGACCACAAATCCATAAAAATCAAACTGCAAAATAACCTGGAACCGGTATGCAATTCATCGCCTGCTTCATCTCTCTGATCTAATGCCTCGTCTCTCTGGTCTACTGCATCATCCATCATGAGATCCATACAATAAATCAGGAAAACGACTGCGATCGCTATTGCGATTGCGATTTTACGTATACTGCAATCAAAACGCCAAACTACCAAAAAATCGCAAAACTACCAATATGATATGAATAACGCCGCTAACGGCCATCCATTTTTTTTTTTTTTTATTTTGTGCGCGCCGTGTCGTTTTTTTAGTAAAACGGCGCCGTTTTGCAACCATATGCACCTTGCTAGGTGCATTCGGTTGCACGGCATAATTTGCGTGAAGTGTCGTTGTGGTATTTGGAGGGGCAAGACTATTTTTAGAAAATTGAAGAGCAGGAAAACCTACCCAAATCTTGACCAACTAACTTGGCAACATAATCCTTAACGAACAAATGTCAATATGTCATGTCAGTGCTGATCTGATGACACCATTTCAGTTCCAACTCTCAACTAATAACAGAAATATTGTTTTAGCTAATAAATTTCGTTGAAAAGAAATTCAGTCAATTAATTCCTATGCAATAGAAACATGAACAAATAAGGTCCAATATTACAAGTGGAAGTCTCCCAACAAAATACGGCCAAGGGAACACGCTAGGAACACCATACGTTTGCCCTTAGCTAATAAAGCTGACTTTAACCTCACAAAGATCTTTTATGTTTTAAATCTTTCTATTCAATTTTTTTTTTTCTCGATACGATAAGTGTGTATATAACGATATATCGATAAGTGTGTCTATATATATAACGAATCATGTGAAAGAGAACCTTAGGTCAAAAATATGGTTTAATTCATCTATTGATTCAGTCTAGATCAACAGTAAGAATGTAGTAATTTAAAAAAAAAAAAAAAGAGCAGGGATATTATGGTAATTTTGTGTAAGTAAGTTAATTCTTTTTTTTTTTTTTGTCTTTCAAACCATTTTTTCCCTTCTTGCAGAGCACATTGTTATGCCATCCAAACACACAATGATATGCCTTCTAGTGCACATTGCTTTAGGTAAATAAATTAACTTTTTTGTCTTCCGTGAATTTGAGCACATTGTTGAGCCTTTCATAGCACATTTTTGTGCCTTCAGTTTTAAGATCATATAGTATGTGTTATATATATATATATAATATATATATATATATATATATATATATATTTATTTATTTATTTATTTATTTATTTATTTATTTATTTATTTATTTATTTAAAAAAGCATTTGATCTTGAATGAATCACTAATTAGTAACTTTGTTTGAATATTGTGATCGTTTATGATTTGTGTTGAAGATCGTGTATTAAATTTATTCTTTTCAATAATTGTTTCATATTTTTCTGCCTTACAATACACATTTTTGCATTCAAAGTTCCAGTGCATATTATTATGCCTTCCAGAGCACATTGTTGTGCCTTCATTTTTAAGATCATATAGTAGGTGTTTTATATATATATATATATATATATATATATATATATATATATATATAATATATATATATATATATATATATATATATATATATATATATATTTATATTTATATTTATAAAAATCAGTTCCTGTGCGGTTGGGTGTGTCCCATGCGGTTAAATCTAAATCATTGATCTTGCTTAAATCAACGTCCAGTATTAACAAAATTAAAAAAAAATACGGTGACAATTTGATAATTTTTGCATCTAGGTAAAATTTAAGGTGCATGATTTTTCTTTTTAAGATGCCTGGGTTTTGTGCTTAAGGTGCGTGGTTTGTGTGTTTAAGGTGAGTAGTTGTTGAAACTTAAGGTGCGTCAACCAAAAGTTTAAGGTGTGTGGTTTTCCTTCTTAAGGTGTGTGATTTGTATGCTTAAGGTGCATGAGTTATTGAAACTTAATTAAGGTGCGCCATTTCAAATAAGTGTGTGATTTGTGTTCTTAAGGTGCGTGTTTTGTGTACTTAAGGTGCGTGGTTTGTGTACTTAAGGTGTGTCGGCCTAAAACTTTAGGTACGGTTGGTTTGTGTTCTTAAAGTGCTTTGTTTCTGTGCTTAAGGTGCGTGGTTTGTGTACTTAAGGTGCGTCAACCGCACCGGAAGCTATACCCGCACCTGAACCCTTCCATTTTAGCAATCTGCACACATATTTCTTCAAATTAGGTTTTTGCTATCCTAAATCTGCAATCAAAATGTGAGATAATCAACTAGAAGGCCAGAAATCTTTAACTTATTGCGAAGTTTGTGGATGAAGTTGAAGATGAACTTTTTTGGCCATCTAGTTGATTATCCACATTTTGATTGTAGATTTAGGAGAGCAAAAACATAATTTGAAGAAATATGTGGCGCAGACTGCTGAAAAAAAAATCACAGATTACTTTAAATTGGAGTGTAAAACCTAAATTTCTAATTTACCCTTCATTTCAACACCAACTTAACGCCAAAGCTAACGGATGACCATTTTGACTTAAAATTTCAAAAATCAGAAAGTCATAGGACCACTTTGAGAAAATTA